ATATTTATAAGAATATAAAAATACACACACACGCACACAAAACACACACACACATACACATACACACACAAACACGCACGCACACACGCATACAGTTATATATACACACACACTTGTGCATTAGAGAATTCAATTGTTTCATACTGGTCTGGCGCTTTATGGCTGGAGAATAGTTATTTGTCGAGATCGAAAGAAGGATAATAACAAATATTTTGAAGAATAATAATGGAATATATTATTAGCGTGTTATGTAATGGAGTTTTATTATAAAATAATTATTGCTGGAGAATTATTTTAGTTCAGTTTTAAATCAATTGAAGTTTTAAAATGAAAATTTGACTATATAATGTTACAAATCAAAAGAAAGTTAATTAAAAAGTCTTATATATATATAAGACTGTTAGTTAATTATTTAATTAATTATTCTACCAAATAATATTTTTATTTGTCCCTCAATTAAAATTTTATTATGCAATAATGCATAATTAATGAGAGTTAATTATTATGTTAACCGGTTAAATTGATTAAAAATTATTATGTGGTGAGTTTATTGATTGATTGAGAAATCCTAAAATGAATGAGCATGCATGTGTGAGTAATTTAAGTCAATAAATGCATGAATGAATTTTTAAATGAGTGAATGAATGGATGGATGGATGGATGGATGGATGGATGGATGGATGGATGGATGGACAGACGGACGGACGGACGGTTGGATGGATGGATAAATAATTGAATGTATAAAAGAACGAGTGAATGACTGAATAAAATCAAAAATGGACACACCATTTTTAAAAATTTCTTGCGCTTCCAATGAATTTATGAATGAACAGTTTGATATCACGAATGAATGAATAAGTGAATGAACAAACAAATGAATGAACCTTCCAATAATTCAAATAAAAAAAGAATGAAATGAATTTTTAAACTAAACATAAAATCCCACGTTTCGTTTCAATTAAGTCGTATAATCATACCTCGTGCCTATCTGTTAGCTAACAACGAACAAACAAAACGTTAATCATTCATTTACTTGTAAGAAGACCACTAATTTTTACAAACAAAATTTTTCATACAAGCAGAAAAAAAAGAAAAAACCACAAACACATACTAACATACAAACAAATATACAAACATTTATACAAACATATATACAAACATTTATACAAACATATATACAAACATACCCGTAAGCAAACGTGCATACGCTCGTATTTTGCATCATAGTGTACACAAAATTTTGTTGTTCAGTACATGCACCCATATGTGCGTGCAAACATACTGTACACACATAGACATATGTGAATAATTAACCAGCGTACACACACCTCGCCCATCCCTGTTTTTCTTCTGACGTCATAGATTCATTGAGTGTGGTAGCGTTGCCATGGTGATGTGCAGCAATGTTTTCTGGTTGGTTGTGTCGGAGTTGCTGCTTTGTTGTTGTTGATGATGGAGGTTGTGGTGTTGTTTGTGTGTGTGTGTGTGTGTTTATGTGTTGTTTGAATGTGTGTGTTTGTTGTTTGTGTTGGCGTGTGTGTGTTTGTTTGTGTGTGACTGTATGACTTATGTGTTGTTGATTGATTGTGTGAGTGTGTGTGTTTGTTGTTTGTGTGTTTGTGGTGGAGTGTTAGTGTGTATTGTTGTTTGTTTGAGTTTACCTGTGTGTGTGTGTGTGTGTGTGTGTGTGTGTGTCTTGTTGTTTGCGTCTTAGTTGGTAGTAGGCGTCTTAGTTGGCGCTTTTAGTATATTTTAGTATATTTTAATATATTTTGGTATCTTTTTTGGAAAATAATTTTGTATGTCTGTATACGTGTTTGTATTTTGTGTATGTGGAGCTTATTCCAGCATGTTTGCTGGCATTTTATTAACAATCTGAAGAGGTATGTTGTCAGTGGGTGAGTGTTTAGTCATGCTTCATGACATTTTTTTCATCAACGTCATCATCATCGTCATCATCATCGTCATCATCATCTTTGTTATCATCATCATCATCATCATCATTGTTATCATCATCATCATTACTGTCATCTTTATCATCATCATCGTCACTGTCACCTTTATCATCATCATCATCGGTCACCACCATCATCATCATCATCGTCTTCATCATCATCAACTTAGTCATCGCCATTGTCGTTATCATAAACATTATTATCATTATCGTCGTCGTCATCATCATCATCATCATTATGAATTATTGTTATTTTTATTATTATTGTTATTGTTGTTGTTGTTACATGTTGCTATGCTAGACGCTCTTTTATTGCATGCTAATCTATAAGTTTCTTTTTAATAATCATTATTATTATTACTATTATTTTTGTTAAAAATAATAATAATAAAAATATTTCAATTATTATTATTATTTTTTTGATTTTGTCATGTCTTTACTATATTTTCCTCATCCTATCATAAAATTATAACCATCCTATAATCGGTGTCAAA